CCTCGGGATGCGGGCGACTTCCGGGTCGCGAGCTGCCCGACGACGGCCTGACCCCGCCAACCTGGAAAGATGAGAGAACGCCAGACTCCCCTTTTCTCCAGCTCTCTAGACTCTGCATCAACTTCTTAGTATTCTCAGTGAGTGAAGGTGGGGAGGGCCGGAGGCAGGCTCCCTGGAGTTAGGCAAATCTTTGGACAGCCCAAGCCACGGTCAGGACCCCGAACCTCCGAGGACATTCCAGAAATAGCCACCAGGCGGCGCCCAGGGCCAGAAATCAACCTCGGTCTGCAGGCGACCCGAGGGGCGGGAGGTTGGCAGCGCCCTTGGCAAATGGAACTGACTGATCTCTAATATGAGCAAGTGAATGACTTGAACCGTCCCTTAATAGGTCGGGAAACCCAGACAGCCACAGTGTGCGTGATGATGCCCCCCCAAAAGGAATCCTGGCTCCTCCCCCCATTGGACCTTTGTCAAGAGCTAAAAGACTAGGATACTGATGTTCCATCATCAGGTCAGCAAAACCGTGTTTTCCCACTTCTTGGGCATCTTTTCTGTTGTACGGTTTACTCGACAAGGTGTGCTCAGGATTTTACAGATGACAAAAGACTTCTCATCTGCCTTTTAAAACATGCTACTGTCCAGTCTGCTTGGTTTAAGACTTCCAGACCCAGGCTCTCCACACAACAATTGCCCCATATTTCTTTGAATATTAATTTTTAAAATTTTTGTCTAATCCAAAAGTTTGCTAACCAACTCTCAGCTTAGCAAGTGAAGCGTTTGCCTATAGTAAGTAACTGGGCTAAAACTGAGAAAACAAGAAGCAATATCCGCATGAATTTGATTCCCTCTGAATACAGGGGGGGTCACAGTGTTGTAAACTTTGCTTCACAAATTTAGGGTGCACTTTCAGTGAGAACAGTCCTGTCGAGTTGTGTGTAGCAAGAACAAGGATTAAGGAAAAGGGCCCAGAGGTGTTCAGTGGCTTGTGCAAAATAATCCCACTCTGTTGCACCCAAGATGCTGTAGAAGCAGTAAACTGAACACAGATGTGGAGGCAAAGATGAAACCACACGTACTCTGATTCTCAGGCCCTTTGTGATCAAATTTATCTTGCAACTGGCCCCCAAGGTGTCTTCTAAAAATGAAAATCCTTATTCTCATCCGACTTGTTTTGACATTTCTCATTTACTACCTTGTTTTAATTAAAATAATGGCTCTCTTTGTAAGGGTTATTTCTTCCCAACAAAAACACAACAATTTGCAAAATGAAATGCTACAAATGTCTTTCCAGGAGTTTAGAGATCTTCTGAAGTTTCTTCTGAATAAAAAGACTCTCAGGGCTCACTGTACATCGGCCATCTATGTTTAAAGTAGCATTTCAGAATTGTCTCCTAGCCAAAGGATGAAGTCATTTTCTATTTTTGTGCAGTTGAATCACATCTAAATTATTTGTAATCAACAGCATTGAGCAGCTTGAATTTATCAGTAGCAATATTCATAGTACAAAAAGAACCAATAACATTTAGAAATCAAAGTTCATTAATATAATGAATCAAAAAAGTTGATTTCATTGCTATATGGTTTCAAGACAATGGAGTTTTGTCTTATGCTTTCATTTCTTTTTTATTGCATTTCTTAGCGGCCAGTTTTTATATATAATAGAGATAAATTAATTTCACACTTAGGTGGTGAAAATTTACTCTATGTTTTCAATCCAAAGAATTGGTAAGATAAGCTCTTAACTAATACATGGAGAAACCTGCTTTAAAAAATATTCTGTTGGGCTGGGGATTTAGCTCAATGGTTCTGCTGCCTGCCTCACAAGCACAAGATCCTGAGTTTGATCCCTGGTACCAAAACAAAACAAAAATTCTGTCATGGTATACTCTTAAGAGAAATAAATAGGATACATGTGTAAGTACCAAATAGTTTCTCTGGTGTGAGAAACTGACAGTGTAAATTAGCATCAGAATGTATAATAGATTATGTGAAATAGGAAGAAAAGGTCCAAAGGAGAAGGGGAAGTGGGAGGGGTGGGGGAAGGGAAAGGAAAAAATATGAGAAAAGGAAAAAAACGGAAACAAAGTATTTGTAAATAGAGAAGGATGGAGGGGGTGAAGGGAAGGGATGAGATTGAGGGAAAAATAGCCAAGCTATATTGTGTAAAGGTACAAGTTTCCAATGATGAATGTCAGTTATCATGTTGTATACCTGAAATGTACCAATAAACAATGAATAAAAAAATTCTATCATGGCTTTAGTCTTACCCATCCTTTATTGTTGCTTAATATGACTTGGCACAGCCTTTTCAAGTTTGTAACAATCAAGCTCCCTCGAAACTTTTACCAGATGAAATCTTCCTTTGCACCTCTTCTCAAAATGGTATTCCGCCACACTGCTAATGAGACACCTACTGCAGGACTCGACCTAAACCCAAGTACTGTCCACCTTGTTTTAACAGCTTTTTGTGCGCTCCAGGCATTTCTACTTTCCCTAACACTCACGTTTAACTGTTGGAGCTTTGGAATTGGAAAGCGGCACAATTTTTAAATAGTACCAGAAATGTTTTGAACACAAATTTCACCAGCAAGAGTTTTTTAAATAGGGAATGAGCCGGGCGTGGCAGCTCACGCCTGTAATCCCAGCACTCGGGAGGCTGAGACAGGAGGATCGCTGCAAGTTTGAGACCAGCCTGGGCTACACAGTGAGTTCCAGGTCAGTCTCAACTACATAGTGAGACCCTGTCTCAAAAAACCAAACAATAAATAAATAAATAAAATAAATAGGGAATGATGTTCATGAAATGAAACAATTTCTTCATAAACGGCTACATTGTCAAAGTCTATAAACTTTAGGGTTTAAAGGACAGCACAGCAGTTTTCACTTTGCATTGTTGATTTAATAACATACGCAATATACAAAAATTTTTTCAATGGCCCTGAGTAACATGACGCATTTAAACCCTAGCAGATACGATCTTTCAGCTTGGGTCAAGATATCACAGGTTTCCTTTGGGTCAAAGCTCAGTGGCCTTTGGCCATTAGTTCACAATGAACCCTTGAAACCTGTGAGACTGGAAAAGGTTATACTGAATGATCTCCCAGAACCTTGTTAACGCTAACAGGAATTCTCCTACCACAGCTCTTGTTCTGTCATAAAACCCCCCAAAATGAATATTTAAATTCTGTTCTTGGGCCTGTTAAAAATATTCCAAATGTAGATGTACAGAGAATGCACCTACTACATAGTTGTTTTGTTTTTTTTTTCAGTATTAAACTGACATCTGTTGAACTCAATGGGAAAAAAGGCAACTCCCCTGCCAGAGATCCAGGAAATTTGTCCAAGTACTAGGACAGAATTAATTTACGACAGAATTACTAAAAAAGTTAAGAATTACATCCAGCGAGAAAGCAGGATCCTCCCTCAAAATCTCTTGCCTGGGGGGGCTCCCCAAAAAAGTAAAGGCGTGGGAAGTCCCTGGTCTTCGGACCCCCTGAACTTTGACCCCCAAAGCACATACAAGACTGACCGCACCCCAGGCGGGACCTACAGTAACTGAAGTTGCAAAGTCTTCCGCGTCTGAGGAAGCCCCGCCCCTGCCTGTCCCGCCCACCATCAACTCTGCCAATCCTCAGGCACCATCGACCTCTCGGCTTCCGAGGCACGCCCAATCAAATGCCTATATCCGGCCTCGGTCCAGGGTTCTGCGTTCAGGGAAGGTCAGTAGAGAGCCTATCGGAGCAGAGCTGGGGGCGCGGCCAAAGTAGGGGGCGGGCGGACCGAGACGGAGGGGCGGAGCACGCTCGGCGCAGTCCGGTGCGATTGGCCACCCCTGGCAGGAACCGCACCT